TAGCATATCCAGAAGCAGGTTTATTATTTTTATCTCTTAAATTATGAATGAAAAAAATCTAGACTGCTAAAATACCTATGACTAAATCATGATGCTTTGTTTTGGTTCTCTGCCTCTCTTTCACACACACACAAGGAAAAGAAAGTCACTGCTTTCTGCTTCCTGGTGCCCTGACCCTGATCCTGCCCCTCCTACGAGTCTGATTCATCACACTGGAATGTGATTACCTGTCTCCCCAACCAGACTCCAAGGCCTTTGAGGGAAGGGACCATGTCTTAGTCATCACTGCATCATCCATGCCTACCATTGTGCCTAGCAAAGGGTAAGAATTTATTAAATGAATGAATAGAATTTTACAGAATAAGCCACCAATCTGGTTGTTTCTCCTAAATTGATTCATAAGGAGGAGACATAAGCTCTCAGCTTAGAAACTATAATTGGAAGGCAGACTTGTATTGTCTGCAGATAGGATATGCTCCTCCTCTGGGCATGAACTTAAAGGAGGGTCTTTAAGACTCCCAAGCCTGGCACACATAGAGTCACTTGGATGGCTGGTGAAACTTGCCCTGATCTCACTGTCTTTTCACACACTCCCACTGACTGCAGACTGGAAGTGGAGGACAGTCTAGCACTCCCCAAAGGCAGAGTTTCCTTCACTCAAATATTTGGGAAATAAACTGAGGAGAAAAACACAGAAACAAGGAAATTCACAAGTAACCCAGGTAGGAGACAATTTTCTGCAGTCAGACTTGTCCCAGCACCACTTGCTGGGGTGGGAAAGCAAAAAGTGGGCACAGAAGTGATGCTGTAGACAGGGCATAGGGGCTCACCAACCTGGCAGTCTCCCTTATGAGACAAGGAGACCCCCTGTCTCCCCTGGCAGATAAACTTCAGGGGTTCCCACAACCCCCTCCTCAGTTTTAATAGTTTGCTAGAAGAGCTCCCAGAACTCAGGAAAACAGTTTATTTACTATTTATTGCCAGCACAGATGACACCATCCTTATGGCAGAAAGCAAAGAACTGAAGAGCCTCTTGATGAAAGTGAAAGAGGAGAGTGGAAAACCTGGCTTAAAACTCAACATTCAAAAAACTAACATCATGGCATCTGGTCCTATCACTTCATGGCAAACAGATGGGGAAACAGTGGAAACAGTGGCAGACTTTATTTTTGGGAGCTCCAAAATCACTGCAGATGGTGACTTCAGCCATGAAATTAAAAGGCACTTGCTCCTTGGAAGAGAAGCTATGACCAACCTAGACAGCATATTAAAAAGCAGAGGCATTACTTTGCTGACAAAGGTCCATATAGTCAAAGCTATGGTTTTTCCAGTAGTCATCTATGGATGTGAGAGTTGGACTATTAAAAAAAAACTGAGCACCGAAGAACTGATGCTTTTAAACTGTGGTATTGGAGAAAACTCTTGAGAGTCCTTTGGACTACAAGGAGATCAAACCAGGTCCTAAAGGAAATCAGTCCTGAATATTCACTGGAAGGACTGATGATGAAGCTGAAGCTCTAGTACTTTGGCCACCTGATATAAAGAACTGACTCATTGGAAAAAAGCCTGATGCTGGGAAAGATTGAGGGCAGGAGGAGAAGGGGACGACAGATGATGAGATGGTTGGATGGCATCACTGACTCAGTGGACATGGGTTTGAGCAAGCTCCAGGAGTTGGTAATGGACACGGAAGCCTGGCATGCCACAGTCCATGGGGTCGCAAAAAATTGAACATGACTGAGCAACTGAACTGAACTATTATAAAAGATACAACTCAGGAACAATCAAACAGAAAGATCATAGAGCAAGGTTTGAGGGGCTTGCATACCACTCTCAGCACTTTGATAAGCCAGAAGCTATCAAAAACCCCACCCCACTCCCACCACAGTTTTTTATGATTTCTTTATGCAGGCATGATTGATTAGATCACTGGCCATTGCTGATTAACTCGATCTCCAGCCTCTCTCTCCTCCTGGACAGTCAGGTTGGGGCTAAAAGTCCAATCTTCTAGTCATTTCTTGGTCTTTCAAGGGCCCCCAGCCCCTATCCTGAAGCCATCTGGAAACTATCCCTCCCTGATGCTATCCTGAAGCTAGTCCCACTCCTCTGGCCCCTCACCCCAACCCCTCCATCCCATCATCTTATCCAATCAGCCAACAAAAGACACTCATCACTGGAGATTCCAAGGAACTAGGGACGAAGATCAAATATAATAAAAGATGCTTCTATCAGTCAGGAAATTACAAGGGTTTTAGGAGCTCTATGTCAGGAATGGGGGACGAAACTCTAGAGAAAGAAACATGGTGGGTGTACCTTTGGAAGTAGAGACACCCCAAAGTGTTTCTAAGCCCCCAGGGTCCACTTCCTCACCTCTCCTACTGGCATGTCACGGGCCACCAAGGACCTCCCTGTCACTTATCTCATAGGCCCAATTTGACCATTCCACAGGTGCCTATGAAGCAACTGCTAGGTGCAAGGTGCTGTGTTAAGTGCCCTGTGACACTTGTGGACCCAGCAGAGAGGGGGCAGAGGAAGTGGAGGGTCACAAAAGAACCAGAAGAAGGCAGCCCAGAGACCACAGAGGGAGCAGGCTGGGAGGCGGTTCAGTGGGTCTGGGAAGAGTGTTCCAGGCAAGGGGCCTGACGGCTAAGGGTAGAGCACAGAGGAACCTCTGAGAAAGCAGAAGTTTAACACAATTGACCAGATTTTAGAGACCAAGGAGCTTGAGGGGGAAAGATGCTTCCAGAGAGATGAGCAGGAGACACGGCAGACCAAGCTGTGTGATCTATGGCGAGGAGGAAAATCTGAGTCCTCTCTTCTTCACTTTCTCTGTCCAAGTGACACCTAGTTACCTCCAAGATAGCTGTTGCCTATTCAGTTCTCTGTGTCCTCCTTGTTCCAAATCTGCCTTATGAGATCATTGACCTAATTCCCGGAACCTCCAAACAGTACCTTACACAGCAAAAGGGAATACCATCTTTTGCCATACAAGATGTATAATTAAGTTAAGGATCTTGAGAGGAGGACCTTCTCTTGGATTTTCTGGGTGGGCCTTCATGCAGTCATGTGTATCCTTAGAGAGATGCAGATGAGAAGATAGAGAGAGTGGAGAAGGCAGAGATTGGGATGATGCGCCTTAAACCAAAGAATGTCAACAGCCACCAGAAACTGGAAGCAGCAGGGAACAGATTCTTCCCTGAGGCCTCCAGGAAGGGGGCTTGACTTCAACACCTTGACCTCAGATTTCTGGCCTCCAGAAGGGCAAGAGAATAAATATCTCTTGTTTTAAGCTACCAGATTTGAGGTGATTTGTTACAGCAGCCACAGGAAACCAATGCAGTGAGAATCTGTTCTTGCCTTCAGGGTCTAGAGGCCACCTACATTCCTAGACTCACGTCCCCCTCCTCTATCTCAGAGCTAGCAGTGCAGCATCTTCTGGGCCCACCTGATAATCCAGGACATCTCAAGATCCTTAACTTGATCCCATCTGCAAAGTCCTCTTTACCATTTAAATTTATATATCACAGGATCCAGGGATCAGGACACAAACATCTCAGGGAGTCAGTAGGGGGAGGAGTGTTATTCTGTGAACCACACTCAGGTACCCAGCTTCAGGGTGCTTTCTGAGTGCTTGTCTCCAGGCGTCTCCAGAGCTGTGCTTAAGTTCTCTTCCCACCAGAAGACTCAGTCGTCTCCTCCAGTTCCTCCTCTGGAGGCACCTGGGGCCCCTTTGAGGTTGGTGGTCGAGATGTTCATGGGTCTTCAAACCCTCCAGCTGCTCCCCCAATCCCTGGAACTCGCAGCCCTGAGAGCCACCCTTCCCCTTGGCTGCCCCTCTTCTACCTTTCCTTGGCACGCTCACTACCAAACCCTAATTTCCCACAATCTCCAGCCACCTCTGGGTCCACACACCTTGGCCTCCCGCTTTACTAAGGTCATGGCCGTTCTCCCACAAAGCTTACTCAGAACCATGTCCAGGAGAGGCACTTAGTGAGGGTGTATGTGGTCCACTTTGGGTGGAATCACCCAGGACAGGATTGTCAACATGGCCCTGTCACCTTAGCCCAAAGTCAGTTGGGGTCAAAAGTATGTTGAGCGAATGAGGGATTCTGCCTCAGTTTCAAGTGTCATCCTTCTTTAGAGCTGCTATGTTGTTCCTAAACACCCAGGCCTCCTCTTTCTCTCTATGGCATGTGCTGTTGCCTGACCAATGCCTCCGCCCCCCACATCATCCTGCCAGCTGGACCCCAATTTTGTTCACCCTCTCTTCAAGGAAGAACCCCTGCCCAGCCCGAGGCATGAACTTTAATTGCTCCAAAGCAATCCTGGTGGCTCAGGTCTTTTGCCAAGAGATTGGTTAGGCATGGCGGGGAGGTGAAGAAATTCCAGCCAATGAAACATAAGAAGGTAGCTTTGGGGAGTTTCATGTTTAAAAGGAAGCAAAGGTGAAGAAGCTGCATCACTCTGCCTCTGAGTCTGATAGATGCCTAGACCTACAAGGTGTGCCTTAGGAGTCCAGAAGAGCCAGGCAAAGGGGTGGACGGAGAAGACAAGCCACCATCTGTGTCCCTGAGGCGGGCCCAGTGAAGCCCTGTGAATTTACCAGCCCCAGACCTGCCCTCAGGCCAGGACTCCCCCTCTGTGTCCCCACCTCTGCAAGGTCCTCACTGCAAGTGCTGCTGTGCTTTTTGCTCATCACTCCCCATCCGTGGCCTCTGTGCATCCTTGCAGCAGCTGTCGTCCTTGTTTAAAGCCCCACCCCAAGTCGGTTTTGGCATCACAGTCTATCCTCTCTTCTTCAACTCCAAGGCTGGGGATAGAGGGATGGCCACAAATGAAGCTCCACAGCACAGAGTCGCCAGGTGTATACACTGGCATGAAGTGACTAAGCTTGGACTGCTGCTGGGTGGGGTGGGAAAGAGATTAATTGGAAGTTGATGGCACACTGGGGAGACCTTTTTAATTGTCACTTGACTGGAAGGTTGTTCTTCTGCCGAAAGTCAGGGTGGTCCATATAGCCCCTCTGTGACTGGAGGTGGTACAGAGAGAACCCCAGACCCCCAAGTCACTGGAAGCCACAGCAGGGCCTGGAGGCTGAGTCCACCCAGTTGGGTTAAGAGGAGAGACCCCAGAGCAACAGAAGTGCAGTGGTGGGGCTCCACAGATGGGAAATCAGGTTGTAAAACATCGATGCCAGGAAGCTGAGTGTCAGCTCTGTGCTTACGGTGACCAGCTGGGGACGGAGGGAAGGGTCTCTGAGTGGCCCAGGACCATGACAACCAAGAACAAAGAGGGCCCCAAAAGCCAGGACTGGACAGGGCACTGCTCTCAAATTCCTTTGCTGGTGCCACAACAGTCCCTTCCTTGGAACAGTTTGAAGGCAAGCCCCAATCTTCCCTCTTGGTTTTTTGGAGTTGGGTGATCACCTCAGGGTGCATGTCTCTGCGAGTGCAAATCAGTCACTCTCCTGGAATCACAGGCACCAAGTCTCCAGGTGAGAATCCTCAGCTATCCCTGAGCATGCTCTCCTTCCCTCCACCTTCCAGGAAGTCACTGGCTCCTTAAGATTCCACCTGGGAAGACACATAAACACACTTAAACACAAATACACGTACATATATGTGCTTAAATACCCAATTCCATGTACATACATACATGCATATGTACACAAATACACACAGCACATGTGCACTAGAACCTGGGATGCTCATCAGAAATGCTTCAACTCACCTGCCCTGCCTGGGGGACTGAGGAGCCCCAAGCAAGCACAGCCTGTAGACAGGGCTCTGGAGGACTTGGCATTTTTATTTTCCATTCTGAAAAACCAGTCTTGACTCACCTTCCAGGTTTCCAAATTCCTACTGGAACCCGAGCCTCAGCCTTGTTTAACTGGAATCTCTGGTCTTTCGCTTCTCCCACAATTCAGACTGGAGCTCTGGCTCTGGCTGCTTTTGGCTACTGGAGAGGCATGAGCCTGGAGTGTGTCACCCAGGCCAGGCTTACCGCACCCTCACAAGCAGATTTGACCCCTCTTAGAAACTATCAGATTCGTCTGTCAGAGGAAGGGGGAGAGAAGTAGGTGCCCCCAGCCATCACTGATCTCTCTAGGCCGTTCCACAGGCTGTCGTGCTCCTGGACAGCTTCTCTGGATGTGACAATTCACTGGTTGCCACTAATACCCGAGACAGAGATTCTCACTCTTGAGTGTGTAAGAGGTTACCTGCACCTTTCCAGATACCCAGCACACCAGGGGGGATGACAGAGACGGAGCTGGGGAGGTAGGACAGTGGTGACTGAGGGGTGTGGTGGCTGAAGGTGTGTGGTGGCCAAGGGACTGTTGTGGGTGAGGATGTGAGATGGCTAAGGAACTATAGTGGGTGAGGGTGTGTGGTTGTTGAGGGTGTGTGGTAGGTGAGGGTGTGTGGTGGTGAGGATGTGTGGAGGGTAAGTTAGTGTGGTAGGTGAAAAATATATGGGGTGTGTGGTGGCTGAGAGTGTGGTAGGTGAGCATGTGTTGTGGGTGGGTGTGTGTGGTGGCTGAGAGAGAGTGGTTAGTGAGGACATGTGGTGACTGAGGGAGAGTAATGGGTGAGGGTATGTGGTGAGCGAAGGTTTGTGGAGGGTGAAGGTGTGTGTGGCTGAGAGTGGTGAGTGAGGATGTATGGTGGCTGAGGGAGAGTGGTGGGTAAGGGCATGTGGTGGGCAAAGTTGTGTGGTGGGCTAGAGTGTGTGTCAAGTGAGGGTGTGTGGCTGGTGAGGGTGTGTGGTGGGCGAGGGTGGGTGTCAAGTGAAGGCGTGTGGTGGGCGAGGTGTATGGTGGGTCAGGATGTGTGGAGGTTGAGTCAGTGTGGTGGGTGAAAATGTGTGGTGGGTGAGGCTGTTTAGTAGGTAAGAGAGAGTGGTGAGTGAGTATATGTGGTGATGAAAGGAGAGTAGTGGGAGAGGGCACGCGGTGGGCGAAAGTGTGTGGTGGGCTAGGGTGTGTGGTGGTGAGGGTGTGTGGTTGGTGAGAGTATATGATTGGTGAGGATATGTGGTAAGCAAGGGTGCTTGGTGGGTGACGGAGTGTGGTGGGTGAGGGTGTGTGTTGGTTGAGGGAGTGTAGTAGGCAAAGGTTAGTGGTGGGTGAGTGTATGTGGTGAGTGAGGATGTGTGATGGCGGGGGTATTGTAGGGGGTGAGGATATGTATTGGGTGAGGGTGTGTGGTAGCTGAGGGAGTTTGTTGGGTGTGGATATGTTGTGGTTTAGGGTGTGTGGTGGCTGAGGGATGGTGGTGAGTGAGGAGGTGTGGTGGGTGAGGCAGTGTACTGGGTGAGGGTGTGTGGTGGGTCAGATTATGTTGTGGCTGAGGGAGTATGATGGGTGAAGGTGTGTGGTGGGTGAGGGTATGTGGTGGGTGAGGATATGTGAGTGAGTGTGTGTGGTGGGTGAGGATGTGGTGGGTGAGGAATGAGAGGGTGAGAGCGGGAAAGAAGGTTGGTGACTTCTGTGGTTGGAAGAGAGCCCAGAGGTGGTCTCTACCATGCAGGTGGTGCAGACACGGCGGGAGGAGCCCACCCAGGCCCTGTGGGGCACAGGACCCCAGTGTCAAATAGATGGAAGAGGGGTCAAGATCATGTCCCTTCTCTGAGGCTCCCAGCATGTTTTTTTTTTCAACAAGAAGTACCAAAATAGGCTTTCTAAGACCATGTCATATTTTAAATGTTGTATTCATTAAATTAATACTTTTGATACACACACAAGCAATTAAATATTTCATTTCTCTGTTCCTAAAAGTAAACAAATTGATGTAGTTTTGAGTGATATAAAATGTCAGAACCTTTGCAGTAAAACCACATTAATTTTGCATTTTGAATAAGACAGACCATTCTACCAATTATAGTTTAATAATAATTCTGTATCACTGTGTGTTGGTTTCCTGAGGCTACTGTGATAAATTACCACCAGCTTGGTGGCTTAAAACAACAGAAATTCATTCTCTCACACACTCTGGAGGCCAGAGATCTGAAATCAGTTTTTACTGGGAGAATCCATCCCTCGCCTCTTCCAGCTCTTTTGGCTTCTAACTTCCTGGCGGCACCACTCTGATCCATTTTCCTCTTCAGTGGAAACAGCTCCTGAAATTTAGTTGCTCAGTCATTTCTGACTCTTTGCGACCCCATGGACTGTGGCCCACAAGGCTCCTCTGTCCATGGGATTTCCCAGGCATGAACACTGGAGTGGGTAGCCATTTCCTTCTCCAGGGGATCTTCATGATCTAGATATTGAACCCATGTCTCCTTCATTGGCAGGCAGATTCTTTACCACTAAGTCATCTGGGAAACCCATCAGTTCAGTTCAGAGGCTCAGTCATGTCCGACTCTTTGTGACCCCATGGACTGCAGCATGCCAGGCCTCCCTGTCCATCACCAACACCCGAAGCTTGCTCCAACTCATGTCCTTCAAGTTGGTGATGCCATCCAACCATCTCATCCTCTGTCGTCCCCTTCTCCTGCCTTCAATCTTTCCCAGCATCAGACTCATTTCCAGTGAGTCAGTTCTTCGCATCAGGTGGCCAAAGTATTGGAGCTTCAGCTTCAGCATCAATCCTTCCAATGAATATTCAGGACTGATTGATTTCCTTTAGGATGGACTGGTTGGATCTCCTTGATGTCCAAGGGACTCTCAAGCGTCTTCTCCAGCACCACAGTTCAAAAGCGTCAAAGGAAACAGTGACAGACTTTATTTTCTTGGGCTCCAAAATCACTGCAGATGGTGACTGCAGCCATGAAATTAAAAGACAACTGCTCCTTGGAAGAAATGCTATGACCAACCCAGACAGCATATTAAAAAGCAGAGACATTACTTTGCCAACCAAGGTCTGTCTAGTCAAAGCTATGGTTTTTCCTGTAGTCATGTATGGATGTGAGAGAGTTGGACCATAAAGAAAGCTGAGCGCCTAAGAATTGATGCTTTTGAACTGTGGTGTGGGGGAACCATGGATATGGAGGCCCAATGATAAGATTTTCAACTTCTCGTAGGCTTGGAGTCTCAACCCAGCAGCCCCCATTGTTCAGGTATCTAGCAGAAAAGTAATTCAGCCTGCTTTTCTCTGCAGATACTGGTTTTAGAATAAAGGTGTCTCTGGCTGCTTCTGAATGTTAATGAAAGCTAAGCTTTTCTACTCAGCTCCTGCCCCAGGCTGCAGAGTCAGCTGTGACTCAGACTGAACACTATTCTGGCAACATGATTGCCAAGTCAGACCCATGAGAGCCATTTCTAGGGCTTCTCTACTGAGACATTCCCCTCTTTTCTGATGGGGCTGAAAGATATGGATGCTGCTGCTGAAGGATGGACAACCACGGGGGGTTATATCCCTGACTGACTGCACCCCAGCTTCTGAGGTCGCAGACACACCACAGTTGATGACACTCCCTCGGACTTTCTTCAGTGTCCTTCCAATAGAGGCTCCTTGTTTCATTTTAACTAGTTTAAGTAGGTGGTGGTTTAGTTGCTAAGTCATGTCCAACTCTTGCGATCCCATGGACTGTAGACTGCTAGACTCCTCTGTCCATGGGATTCTTCAGGCAAGAATACTGGAGTAGGTAGCCATTTCCTTCTCCAAAGGATCTTCCAAACCCAGGAATTGAACCCGGGTCTTCTGCATTGCAGGCAGATTCTTTACTGACTGAGCTATGAGGGAAGTCCAGTTTGGGTAGACTTTCTGCCAAAGATACTCAATGTTCCTAGGGTTCACCAGAGAAACTCCATCACTGTTTTCTCACCCCTGTCACCAAAACAGCCAGCCCCTCAACAAGGAGAAAGGTTCAGCCTTAAATGATAACCCGAGGCCTTCAGGAGCTGAGAAATCCACTCATTTGGCCTCCTTGGTCTTCTCTGAGCCAGCTTCACCTAGGGTGCTGCATTTTGTGTATTGATGGGGACACAGGATTACCATAGGATATAAACACAGATGTACCACCTCTTTGGCAAAATCTGGTCCTAGCTGAGATCAACAATGCAAGTGGAAGCAATTAAGACTACCTTCAAGGGTGGACAAACTACTTTTCAGAAGACTGGCTCCCCAAGGTGGTTCAGACCACCACATACCAATAATCTGAGGCAAGTGACTTGGTTGTGACCAGTGAGATGGGCACTGTTCTCCGAGAAGTTTAAGTTTCACATCTTATTCCTGCTGAGAATCTAAACTGCTGAACAGGTGTCAGAAGAGCTAGACATGAAAACTAAGAGAGACTGTGGCCTGAAAGCTTTGCGGTCATCTTATTATCAGGGCAAGTTAATGCTGCAGTAAGCAAGCTGGAATGATAATGGCATAAATACAGCTGAGTTCATTTCTCATTCACATGAACAGTCCCAGGCAGGTTCAGTTCTGGTGGCTGGGGATACTGCTCTCGTAATAAAATTCTTCAAATATCTGGGCTCTGTTATCATCAATAC